TGGGGCTGAGCAAACTGGATCCTTTTGGGCGGGAAAGGAGAAAGAACAGTTCCTGGAAGGGGAAAAAAGGCACCCCGGGAGCTGTGTTTTGTGAGGGGAAGATGTTCTTATTATTGAGGTTAATCATGGTAATGATCTGATATCGCTGGGTCAGCCCAGGAGACCGCGCTCTCCAAAGTTCTTTCTCACAGAGGTTTCTCGAGGAGTCAAGGGTTCCCCAACTTGACTGTGGTTGGGGTAAATAAAATAAAGACCTCCAATCCCTTCCTCTGCCTTTTCCTCTCCCTCCCTTAAAAACTCCAGAAAAAGGGAAAGCTTATAAAATCTCCAACACCCCACTTTTTCCTCGACTCTCTTCAGTTTACTAAAATGCATGGTCTTTGGGAATTGAGCTTTTCTGGGTCACCCTTCTTGTGAAGCAACAGAGGTGACCCGACTGAGTCCCCATGAATTCTGACGCTGATCCTGGAGAGGACCCAGGATTCCCTTGCCTGCTGTAGAATTCTCTCTCTATCCTTAGCTTTTCCCAGTCTCTGCCTTCTTTGCTCTTGGGTGCCTAATCTCATGGGTCTCTGGCAGTTCAGAGGCCAAGAATAGATTAAGGCACTTTGAGATACCCTCATAAACTCTTAAAAGTGTTTCCAGCTTCCTGTCATCTCTTTAATACTGGGAGGACCAGGCCAGGGAGCCCTCCATAAACTAACCTAAGGCCAGCCTGGTTTCTAGATCTTTTCAAGCCAAATTTAGGTTCCTTGAAAAATAAAACTCCCCCTCCCCAGCAAGAAATTCAGGTTACAAACCTGCAGCAGAGCAAGGTTCCTGCATCCACACATCAGAAGTTTCAGCAACAATTTTCATAATATGAAGAATTAAAGCTTGCATGAAAGTTAGCAAGGGACACCCCAAACCAAGTTTTAAAAAGCAGTCTTGAAGAGGGGTGGGGGTCAATGAGGCTGGGATGAGGGAGGAAGGTGGTGGGGAACCCAATCTCTAACTAACAATTTCTCCAGCATAAAAATGAAACATCAAATTCGTTAGCCCAGGGCCTTCATTTTTCCCCTTCCACATTATAACTAGTTATTGAACTCGCTGGAAGATCTAAAGGCCATTTGCGAAGAGACAAATTTCAATGGAGTTTCCTCATCAATAACCCCATGGCAGTGACCTATTGGAACAAGTCAAACACCCGAGGTGAAATGCAGGTCACTCTGTCTAACCAATATTAAAATGCGGCCACTTTTTAAAAAGCCACTTTAAACGAGATTTAAGGAAAATTGAATTCCAAGGAAGGCAAGGCAAGGCGGGGGAAATCCATGAGAGGACCTCGCCTATGGTCTCCAAACAAACAAGAGAAATTCATCTTCAATATTTTAAAGGGGGGCAAATTAACATTCCATGATTGCTTTTTTTTTGAGACTATAAGCTATTCCAGGAGAAGAAAAAAGGTTGAGTATTTTCTGGTGACATATCCAGGTTATTAAAATCATTTTAGACCAATTCATTACTTTTACTGACAAGAGATTTAAGAAAAAATCAATTAAGCATTTGCATATTCTTTTGCATACATTAGCCCTGGCTGGGGCATTAGAAAGGGACAAACACGCACACACACACACACACACACACACACACACACACGAAAAAAATGGGATATGAGCCTTGATTTAGTTTGGGGTTTTCAAGTTGCCCAAAGGAAAAAAAATCAAAGTGAAATGAATTGCCTGATTGCATACCATCTAAAAGTCAATTTATGTGAGTGAAAGGAAACAGACATGTTGCAATTTTTAATCCCTAAAACAACAACAACAACAACAACGTTCACACACATAAACCCTGCATTTTAAAGAGTAGGGAAAGGAATGACCCTCATTTTCCTTCCCTTTGCCCTCCAAATCCTGAATTGGTTCACCCATTTATTTTTCTCCCTTGGAAAAATCAGAGAGGGGTGAGATTTTAATGCAGCAGAGAATCTGTGGAGCCGCTGAGCTCTCTCAGCCGGCAGCTTGTTACTGGGGAGGGGAGGAATATGGGTTATCCAACGGTCAGTATGGTAATCCAGGCACAATAAGGCCTCACACACAATGGACACATATTTTTCTTCAGCGATGTCAGAAGGGAAGCGCTTTGTACTGAAACGTGTTTCCGAAAGAGAAACCAAATCGAGATTTAGAAAGGGGATGGGGTGGAGGGGCAATTGCAGCGAGCATTTGGATGCTGGCAAAAGGTAGTCAGAAAAAATAAAAACAAATAAAACTGGGGCAAAGTAAGGTGGAGGACAGGGCAGAGGTGCGGTCCCTGGGCCAGCAAGGCGGGAGGCAGGAGGGTGAAACACAAAAGAAGACAGGACCAGATACAAGGATTCATCACAGATGAGAGCTGCTTTAGTACCCCCACCCCCTCCCAATTAAGCCATTGCTAAGTGCAAAAGCCCTTTGAACGGATTTTATTTCTGTGCTTGTAATAATATCCAGGTGAAAATGTTTGTGTGTATGTGTGTGGTATTTTACCCATGTGATAGGCGACTTCCTTGCTATTAAGCTATAGGAGCCCAAAGGGAGTTGCTGGTGTTGTTTTGTAAATGATATAGATGAGTGTGGGCACGTTTAGGGGAACCTTGGAGATTTCACTTTCTGGATGTGCATGTTGCATTAGCTGCACAAACCTGGAATGAGAACTCTACATATTTATAGCTGCATAAAGAGGCATTTAATATATTAATAAATATTAATAGTGTGCATGCATATATGTTAACCATAATAACCAAAGACAGACTTGACATTCAGTTGGGGGCATCTGAACCCTCTGTGTCTACTACTTACACTGGCCCAAAGTCAGTCTCCTTGACCCACCTGCAGAAGTTCAGAAACCTGGCCCGGATGAGATGTGACAGGCAACATATTGGGGAGGACTTCTTAACAAGTCCAGGAGGGTGAAGATTGAAGAAAAGAGGGTTAGGGCCAGGGCAGGGATGGTAGAAGGTGAGTGTGAGGGCTGAGAGGAGGAGAGTCAGGCTCACAGCTCACCTTTCCAGGTGTGGCAGCCCTATCCAGGTACAGGCCTAGAAGGGGGCAAGGAGTGGGGCCCGGTTTCCTCCCTCTTCATCAACCCTCTCCGCAGGGTACCAAAGTTTGCTGAGCTTTGGACTTCCCCATGGAGTCATCTGGGACTATAGTTCAGACTTAGGTACTAGGATTCAGCACTGGTTTCCCTTTGCCCTCTTCCAGCAATTTTTAATGAACCCACCCCCATCACCAATGATTAAAATAAGACAGCCCTCACACAACTCAAACCACTGTTAGCCAAGCAGTAGCCTTCCTCTGCCCCCTCACTCTCAGTCTCAAGTTCCTCTCCAACCTAACCAGCCTGTCCTCACATGCAGAGGGCTCCAGACAAGAGTGGGCAAGGGTTCTCAGCCAACTCTGAGAATTTGGGAATCTCCATAAGAGGTGGTCAGCCTCTGGAGAACTCCTGTTCCTTCACCTGGCCAGGTGACAGTGGGGATGGGCACTGTCCTCTTGGAGAGAGAGTATTCAGGGACCCCCAAGTGCCAGCTCTTTGGAAGCTAAGTGCTGGCCCTGCTGAGCCTGGGGTGGGGTTGGGGGCCTAAACATTAGAAGAGGGAAGGCAGCGAGGGCCCAGGCGGGAATCAGCACCCTTTGGGCACTGCCTGTGGTCCAGCTTCCCTCTCATTCCAGCCCTCTGGGGAAGCCCTAATTTGGAAGTGCAAACCCTCTCCAACATCCCAAAGGTGATGAAGAAAGGATGGGAATCTCTTGCTTCCAGTCTCCCTCTCACAAGGGCTTTATTTTTTTTCCCTTTCCCCTCCTCATTCCCTTAATTGCAGATGTTCTAATTAAACCCTCAAATAGTTGTTATGCCGTTTTAAAAGGTACTTATTCAAGTGTCAACCAGGCTGGGCTGGGAGGAGGCAGCGTAGGGCGGCGAATTAAAGGTAGATTGACTAATCACGGCGGCGATCATAATAATAAAATCAGAGGGGAAAAAATCACATTACGACTTTTCGTGGAAAGGAGGGAGCAGGCAGCCAGCGGCCGCCAGCCCCGCGCCGCCGCCGACACAAAGAGTGCGGGCGATTCCGCGAGACTGATTTATGACGTTTTACAGCCCTATAAAAGCTGTAGCGACGAGGCAAGCGCTCCTACCACCGCTGGCAGATTTAGTCTAATAAATAAAACATAAACAGTTAACTTTATGTGTCACTTTTATTGTTATCAAGTAAAATATAGCCGAGCCCCGGCAAGCTATGATTTTAAACTATAATTGTTATCAAGTACAACAAGGGGACCCGGCTCCCTCCCTGGGCTCTCCCCTCTGCTACCCCCCCAACTCTGAGTTATGGGCGATCAGTTAATTGGAATCGGTGGCCTGACAGGGCCACCCCTAGCTGGGTGGGGGGGGGGGTGGTGGTTAGGAAAGCAGCTTTTCCTGGCCCCCTCCCTTCTCTATGGCCCTGCCACCCTCCTCCATCAGAGTACTACTGTGAGTGGGTGGCAGAGAGAGGGGAGGGGGTGTGAATGGGCTGGAGACCCCCAAGGCTGGCCCTGCCTCCCCAACTTGGTGAGCTTAGCCTTCCGTTTTTGGAAAGCAGCCTGGAGCTGGCCCTTAGGAATTCGTGTTTACATGTAAACACACGTGTTACATGGATACAGCTCCTAGCGAGAAGCAAGCAGGCTCTACCCACACAGGCCTCCCTATTAGCTAGGTCTGCCCTCTGTGGGGACAGAGAAAGAACTCTCAGGGTCTTGGCTGGGCACCATCAGAGGGCACTGACTCCTGGCAGAAAGCTCTCCTCCGTGCCCCAGCTCCTTGGAGATAATTGTCAGAAAATAGCAGGCCGGGCTGAATGGGGAGTGGAAACAGGAGCCAGCAGTAGAAGAGATCCTCTGCTCTGGGGCTGGGGCAGGGAGGGTCAGTGGGTAGCAGGGGAAGGCGAGACTTCTGAACTCTGCTTTTGCCAACCACTTCCTGTCTCTCTTCAGCGGGGGCTCAACCCCCAGACCTCCAGAAATGACGTCAGAATCATTTGCATCCCGCTGCCTCTACCTGCCTGGTCCAGCTGGGACCCTGCCTCGCCGGCCCCATGGCCAGAGGGTTGGGTGAGTGTGTATGGGGAAGAGGGCTGGACTCTGGTATCCTTGGATGGGGGGCACTCCAGGCTCTCCAGCCTCCTCGGCTCAGGCTGGGCCCCTCCCCATCCAACCTCCACTCCAGTCCTCATTCAACTTCCTCTTCCTGCGAAAGAGGGGCGCTGCCCGGTGACCTACACAGACTGAGACACGATCGCCATGAATGGAGACCTCTGGAAAAGCTCAAGAGCCGAGGCCCACGGGGCCCAGCAGAGGCCTGAGGGGAGACCCTGGGCGGGGGCTGAATCACTGCCTCCCGACAGCCCCCAATGCCCGGGCTTTGGAGGGGAGCCGGGAGCTTCCCATCTCCTTTTGCAGGGGAGGGTTGTCAGTCTGACGGGATGTGCACTGGCGGCACCCCAACCCCTGCCAGCTAACCCCACATCACCACCACCCACCCCCCAGCACCACCACCACTACACACACAAAAAAATTGGATACATTTTGAATAAAGCGATTCGGTTCCTTATCCGGGGACTGGGTTGCTCCGTGTGATTGGCCGGCGGAGTCACATGGTGAAAGTAACTTTACAGGGTCGCTAGCTAGTAGGAGGGCTTTATGGAGCAGAAAAACGACAAAGCGAGAAAAATTATTTTCCACTCCAGAAATTAATGATCATGAGCTCGTATTTGATGGACTCTAACTACATCGATCCGAAATTTCCTCCATGCGAAGAATATTCGCAAAATAGCTACATCCCTGAACACAGTCCGGAATATTACGGCCGGACCAGGGAATCGGGATTCCAGCATCACCACCAGGAGCTGTACCCACCACCGCCTCCGCGCCCTAGCTACCCTGAGCGCCAGTATAGCTGCACCAGTCTCCAGGGGCCGGGCAATTCGCGAGGCCACGGGCCGGCCCAGGCGGGCCACCACCACCCCGAGAAATCACAGTCGCTCTGCGAGCCGGCGCCTCTCTCAGGCGCCTCCGCCTCCCCGTCCCCAGCCCCGCCAGCCTGCAGCCAGCCAGCCCCCGACCATCCCTCCAGCGCCGCCAGCAAGCAACCCATAGTCTACCCATGGATGAAAAAAATTCACGTTAGCACGGGTAGGCAACTTTGCTTTTTGCTCCCCCCCTCCCTCTCTTCTTCCCTAGCGCTCCCCACCCTCCTCGGCCCCCTCTGGCCCCCGTCCTCCTTTCTCTCCTTCCCCCTCTCTCTCCAGGAGCGACTCTGGGTTAGCACAATTGAACTGGATTTACGAGCGAGAATGGGTAATTACATCCCCCATAAATTTTATGGCTTAGCTACTCTGGGCAGTCCGAGCCATGTGCTACGATCTGTTATGTATGTGTGAAAACTATGCTGGCTTTCTAAGGGCGCATAAATAATTCAGTGTCGTTACAATGAGGATTCCCCTCTTATTACACTACAAAGTCTTCAGCTTCCTTCAACTTCTTTATAACCCATTTAAGCTTGATGACTTTATTTCCACCACTCCCTCCTCCTGTTCCTCAGAGCTGAGGATGAGGTGAGGGTGGGGGGCGGGGTGCCTGCTGCCTCTGAACCCCACTATTTGCTTTTCCCCTCCCCCTCCCCCAGTGAACCCCAATTATAACGGAGGGGAACCCAAGCGCTCAAGAACAGCCTACACCCGGCAGCAAGTCCTGGAATTAGAGAAAGAGTTTCATTACAACCGCTACCTGACCCGAAGGAGAAGGATCGAGATCGCCCACTCGCTGTGCCTCTCTGAGAGGCAGATCAAAATCTGGTTCCAAAACCGTCGCATGAAATGGAAGAAGGACCACCGACTCCCCAACACCAAAGTCAGGTCAGCACCCCCGGCCGGCGCTGCGCCCAGCACCCTTTCGGCAGCTACCCCGGGTACTTCTGAAGACCACTCCCAGAGCGCCACGCCGCCGGAGCAGCAACGGGCAGAGGACATTACCAGGTTATAAAACATAACTCACACCCCTGCCCCCA